GAAGATGTGGACATTATTATCGAACCACAGGAAGATGGGCAGTACTTTGTTGAATACCAGCCTGTTAACGCTGGAAAACACACCATCAAGGTGTTGTTTGGAGGACAACCAATTAGTAAGAGCCCCTTCCATGTCATGGTGAGCCCACCACGAATTGAACCCATCCCATCAAAAGTGCGAGTGTTTGGTCAAGGTAAGCAATCTTAAAGTGTCTATCTTAGTATTCTCTGGTAATGAGCTCCAAGCACACTTGTGACCTCTTGAACATTTTGTTTTTGTAGCCAAATAACTATTAATGAAACCTGTCTTCAGTGACCATCTCTGCTAAGTTCCAGACAGGCTTTAATGAAAGAAAGGTTACCCATATTAATAGGGGCTAAGTTTCAACAGGTCTATGGTTTAGAGGCTTACCAAATTGCAAGAAGTTTTCATTAATTTGTCACATCAGATCTAGCTGACTTTGTAGGGGTTTTGACCAGCGGCCCTTCCCTAAACTTCTGACTGTTCACCTATGAGGTTTTATTTTGTTTTATATGATTATGATTTGTTGGTTTGTTAAAAGTGAAAAGTAATGCTGTAGGCTTGAGAAACCCATTGAAACTTCCTCTGTGTCTGTTTGTATGACTTTTGCCCTACCACAAAAAATATCTTTCGAAATTATGGACAAGTATACTTTATGTGGTCTTTGGATCTATAGTTAAAACCTGGTTTTTCCCTGGGTTAATTGATAATGGCAAAAGCCATGCTTACATGCATGTATGTTTGTTAATGTTACAGGTGTTGAGCCAACTGGTTTAAAGGCTGGACAGCGAGCACCATTTACAGTTGATGCCAAGGGTGCAGGTGATGGTGAACTGGATGTGTTTGTGGAAGGCCCTCAAGGAGAAGAAAAAGTTGACATCAAGAACAACGGCGATGGGACATATTCATGTATCTACTATCCTGGGAAATTTGGAAAGTATGTTGTCAATGTGACATGGAGTTCAGTTCAGGTTCCAAACAGTCCTTTCAATGTCAAAGTTGCTCCAGCTGTTGATGCAAGTAGAATCAAAGCTTATGGACCTGGTTTGGAGAGAGGTGAAGGTTTTTCCTGTTTGTTAGACAGGTTTTATTGTTTTAGTTTTGCACTCAAGCACTGATTTCTGGCTTTTTGCTTTGGCACATGAGCAAGTTTAGGAATGATTTGTGGAGGCAGGGGCCACTGGTTTTTTTCTTACATTACTTTCTTGCGAATGAAAATACAGTCAAACCTGTATTAAGCAGCCACCTATTAAGTGGCCCGTTATCAAAGTCCCAAAATTATTGTTTCTAAAATATTTCAAATAAAACCCGTATTAACCAGCCGTGGTCACCTTTTGGTTGTTAAGATGAAGGTTTTTTTGTCTTTAACCCTATGAAACGGCCACGGTCCAAAATTAAATACACATAATTTAGCTTTGTTTTGGAAAAGGTAATGACAGACAAGAGTCCAAAATAGAAGGTGATGAGTGATAAAAACATTCAAACACTTTATCATGATTGCCTCAGAAGTGATTCCATGTTCACTAAGAAATTAACTAGGCGGTGAAAAGTATTCAAGTTACACCAACCCCTATTAAGGCACCTCTCATTTTTCCCAAGGGTGGCCACTTAATAGGGGTTTACTTGTAGTACTTTTCAAAGTCAAAATAGGTGTTGAAGCAGTGTTCAGGCTAAGCTAAGTCATGTATAGATGTCTCACAGTGCTTGCACCCTTTTAACTCTTACCTCACAGGTACTGCAGGCAAGCCATGTGAGTTCACAGTGGAAACCAAAGGAGCAGGAATCGACAGTCTAGGATTTGCCATTGAAGGGCCATCTCAGGCAGAAATTCACTGTCAAGAGCGATCGCCAGGCATCTGTGATGTGCGTTACTACCCAACTACACCAGGAAATTATGCTATTCATGTCACATGTGGGGATGAAGACATTCCCAAGAGTCCCTTTATGGTGCCCATATCACCTGCAGGAGATGCCAAGAAAGTGTACGCTGAAGGACCTGGTTTACAGCCTGAAGGTGTTGTAGCAGGTAAAGATCTTTTCAGTTAGGCAAGTCTTCAGAGTGTAATGGGACCAGTCCTTTATTATGTTCTCCATGTGTGCTTTGATGTTTACTACTTTGTTGGTTTGGGCAGTTCCATTTTTTATCCACACCCCCATATTGAGGGTCAAGGAAATCTGAAAGGGTGGGGTAGGTCTTTAAAGGCAGTTTCTGAGGGAGCAACTGTGTCAGTACCTTCGATCTTTTATGTACTCTGAAGGGGGAAGTGAGTCGGCGGTTGTGATAAGTTAACTTTTTTGAGGGGGTAAAATTCAAAGCTCTTCAACAGAGGGGAGGGTGCGGATATAAAATGGAATGACCCAATGAAGAGTTTTAACAGGTTTACTTATGTTATAAGCCAGTTTTAATTTATGACTATTTGAAATGCGTCGTAATTTATTCACTTGCTTAGTTGATGGACTATCTGCAAAATTGTAGCAATAAAACACAGGAACATCCATGTTCTCATATCTTAATTTTTAGGCCTAAATATAGTCTGCAGTCTGCAGGTGTCATACAGCTGTACACTGACATTTTGGTAAGCTTTAGGTGAACTTACCCGTCGCATTTCTGCAACAATGGATAAACAAAGGCTTGTCCGGTTCCGGTCAAAGATTCTGCAGCGGTTTGTAGACAACAGTAAGTTGGAGTACAGTGGCTGCATTACACAGAAAATGACGAAAATTGAAGCTGAATTTTGTTACTCCACAAGTATCCCTGCCGCCATATTATTAACACGCGGCCAGAAAATGTGAGGTCTGGGACCAATTTTATTTTCGGAAACTTTTCGTTGACAATCGGGCTATGAAAGTGTTACGAACATGTTCCGAAGAAAAGGCGGATCCCAGACCTTCGTTCAATTCACTTTATGAAGTGCAGGGTTAAGGAATAAGAATTTCAGAGACCAAGAAATAGCATGAGAGTGTTTGTTTCTTCAGGTGTGCCAGCTGAGTTCACAGTTTTCACCAAAGAGGCTGGAGAAGGCGATGTTGACGTCCGAGTGATCGATAACAACGGCAAGAAGGTTCCAGCGGACATCACTGACAACAAAGATGGAACTTACTCTGTGGTGTACTATCCAACAGCAGTCGGTGCGTACACGGTGAACATCACTTTCAACTCTGAAAGTATTCCTAAGAGCCCCTTCAGAGTCAACGTCTGCCAGACCAACTCCGCAGCGTGCCGTGCTTATGGACCAGGCCTGGAGAAGGGCTTTGTCAATCAGAACAACGAATTCAAGATTGAAACTAAAGGAGCTGGCGAGGGTGGCCTGGGGCTGACCATTGAAGGACCATCAGAAGCGCAGATTGAGTGTAAAGACAACGGTGATGGGTCATGTGACGTCACTTACCTACCCCCAGACCCCGGCGATTACGTCATCAACATCTTATTTGCCGATGAGCACATCCCAGGGAGTCCTTTCAAAGCGAGGATCTCTTATCCTTTCGACGCTTCCAAGGTCAAAGTTGAAGGTCCTGGAATTGAGCCCGGGATACGCGCGGGTGAGCCAGCGGATATTGATATTGACACTCGCATGGCTGGAGATGCGGAACTGAAGGTTGAAGCAGTGGATGAGTTGAACAGCCCTGTTCAGTGTGACATTGATGAAGAGGAGTATGGAATATACGCTGTGACTTACTATCCCAAAAAGAAAGGTAGGATGTTATTCTCTAGTGCTTGTGGCGTTTGCGTTAAAAAACGCATCACAAAAACGTTAGCAAACGCGTTGCAAAACTCGTTACCTAATTGGGTGTCTTGTGAAAACTCTAATGTATTTCACTTCGCTTTTCCTGCGTTTGACTCAAGTCACGTGTTTTTCCCGCTCTTTCTATCTGCAACAGATTTCAGATATATTTTTTAACTGGTTGCGCTTATTACAGCTGTAGCAATTGGCTGTTTGTCTCGGTTGTAACTTTCCTCGAAAAAAGAAGTAAAAGGTACTTAATAAGTAAGAGTTGCATCTGGTTTCTTTTCACGCCTTTGAAGGTCGCTTGTATTTTTGAATTCAGATCATTTCGAATAACATAAGTTTTGTTCTGTAATTTTTTTAGGTAACCACAAAGTCAGCGTCAAATACGGTGGAGTGCATGCGCCGGGAAGTCCATTCAAAGTTGCCATCTCGCCCAAGTCTGACGCGTCAAAAGTGAAAGTGACGGGACCTGGGGTTGAACCAACCGGAGTGCAACCTGGCAAGCCCACTTATTTTACCATTAATGCTTCTGAAGCCGGAAAGGGAGATGTTCACGTGAAAGTGGAACCAGTCAGTAAGTATCTTTCTGTCTTGTTTGGATGAGAATGTTTTTCTTCGCGGTTTTCTTTCGCGTCTACACGACGGACTAAGCGAAAGAGGGACTACTCGTAGTCTAACCTTTCTTTGGTAACCAAATGAAGTATAAGACAAGGCCGTCGTTTTTTCTATTTATAGAACGTGGGCGTCCTGTGGATGTGGAAGTGACCGAAGAAGGAAAAGACACATTCAAGTGTGAGTACGTGGCACCGGTGGAAGGAGCCTACAAGGTCGATGTGAAATTTGATGGTAGCCCTGTGCCCGGCAGCCCTTTCCCTGTGGAGGTTGCCAAGCCTGGTGATGCTGGAAAATGCAAGGCTCAAGGCGATGGACTGGAGACGGCCATTATCGATCAACTGGCTGAGTTTGATGTCGACTGTAAATCTGCCGGTAAGATTAAGCTAGCGGAAAAATACATGGGCTCATTTCCAAGGGTCTTCCCTTGTAAACTGGCGTTGCGTTTTTAGCGTTTGCAGAAGCCCATGAGTCATGAACCCCTGACGTTTGGGAGATTGTTGGGCGTGGTCGGGTGCGAGTGGGATGGGGTGTCGTGAAATATATCGTTACGCCATTATGCAACTTTCCCAATATCGCTGATACCATACATCAAAGAAGTGTGTGACAATAAGTATATAAGTAGAATATTTCAACTCTGGTGAAGGCGGACAGAGGCCACCGGAAATTCAAAAAAAAGAAAAAAAAGCAGATCGGATTACAAAAAAGTCTTAGAATGTCTATCACCGATCGCAACACTGGAAGCAGTATTTCAAGCTTGGGGCTTAAAGAGGTGACCTGTGCTTTATTTCAGGAGAGGGACAGTTGATGGCGGCAGTAGACAATCCATCTGGTGCACACACAGACACCTTAGTCACTGACAATGAAGACGGTACATATTCTGTGTCGTACACACCATTTGAAGAAGGAATACACACGCTGAACGTTAAGTTTGGAGGTGATCACATTCCTGGCAGCCCGTTCAAGGTTAGTTTGCGTTTCCGCATAGCAAGAGTTAAACTGACATGAACAATACTTTATCTACATCACAATACTTTTAAAAGCCTTTATCAGTTTGTAACGGAACACCTGTTGGATATTGTGTGACACCACGGTAACGGTTACGAATAAATACGTAAGGCACGCTGTGAACCCATTCGAAGTAATGAAAATACTTTCACTTTATTCACAGGTCGATGTTCTTCCTCCCACGGATGCAACGAAGTGCAAAGCTTATGGTCCCGGCTTGGAAAATGCCCTTGTGGGTAAGCCAGCTGACTTCACCGTGGAAACCAAAGGGGCTGGGGCTGGCGGCCTGAGCCTGGCCATCGAGGGACCTTCTGAGGCAAAACTCACTTGTAATGACCATGGAGATGGAACGTGCTCAGTGAAATACACGCCCACGGAGCCCGGTGATTATGAGATCCATATAAAGTTCGCCGATGAGCACATCCCCGGAAGTCCCTTCAACGCAAAGGTTTGCATTATAAAGTGAACATAGTGTTTTCACAAAACGTCTCAGGAGTCATATTGGTGTCCTGAAACAATTGAATCGGCGGCCATGTCGATGTCCCAAACCAATCCTGTGGGAGTTGAACTATTTTCTTTTGTAAACACTTTCTTTTGTTCGAACACATTTGCATGTCTGCTGGCCAAGTGAGTGAAAACGCTCTATAGGATGTCTTATAGTCTTATAGTTAAACAATGTGGACAGACCCAGTCAATATTGATTTTATTTCTCAGGTGACACGTCCAGTTGATGCAAGTAAAGTGAAGTGTTATGGACCAGGTGTTGATCGTGTTAATCCGTTATACTCCAAGACACCACAAGAATTCACTGTAGATACTTCTGAAGCAGGTGATGCTGACCTGGACATAACTGTAGAGACACCTAATAGGAAAACCCTTAAACCTGAGCCTGTCTGCGAGAAAGGAGATGGGGTCTATACGGTGGATTATACACCCGAGGATGAAGGTGAGATACGCATATTTATCAATTAAGCACGTTCGTTTTAGTGTGTGGTTATTGTTGTTGCTTTATATGTACTTTTTTTGCCGCTAAGCGGTTGTTCCTCTTTTCCTTGCTTAGCAAATCATTTAACTTCAGTTATACTCGGGACTGACTTGTTTTTATTTGCTAGTTGTAATCTTGGGTTGAACGTGACATAAACTGGCTCCAACTTGACTTCCGAATTCTTTTCACTCAAAGCGACCAAAATTTTTTAAAGAGAAAAAGAAATAATAAAGCAATGATGGAGTCAGTGATCTGGGAGGAACGAAGTTTGGAGAGGACTTGGGCAAAATTAATGGATGAGAGATGCTTTTAACATACTGATCACTCAAAAAACCTTCATGGAACAAGAACTGAAATATGCAAAGATATGCCAACGAATGCAAGACTAACATGCTGATTTGTCTTCTCGTCAGGTCGTTACACTGTCAACGTGAAGTACGGCGACAAGCATGTCCCCAACAGTCCGTTCCGTGTCCGTGCCGGACCTCCCTTTGACGCCAGTAAAGTCAAGGTATCTGGACCAGGAGTGGATGAGTCGCCGCTGACAGATGTGCCTGTACAGTTCGTTGCCGACTGTACCGAAGCTGGCACTGCTCCTCTGACAGGTGTGGACACTTTGTGGTAATCTTGCTTAAAGTTTTATAGTGATGGAATCAACCTTGTTCACAGGTTCTCTCTTCCCTCCGCGCTCTGGAGCGCAGGAAGAAGAGAGACCCTAAGAACGAGGTTGTCATGAAAGCTGCTCGTTTCCAGGGTTTTTTATTGCTCTCAGAAACTCTGTTGTCGTGTTACTCTACGTTTGCTGTTCTTCTGGATTATAAGAAAAGGAGATGTGACGCTCTCATCATTTTCTAATTGCAGCGACTGTAGCGCCGCCTAGTGGCCCTGATCTGCCTGTAGATGTAAAGGAAAATGGTGATGGAACTTATACCCTGGAATATGTACCTGAGAAACCAGGCCGCCACAGTGTTGACGTCAAGTACGGTGGCAAGAGAGTTCCAAAGAGTCCGTTTAGAGTCCAGGTTAAACCGAGTGGTGACGCGTCTAAAGTGGAGGTCGATGGACTGGGACCTGATGATACTTTCACTGTGGGTAAAGAGAATGACTTCACAGTGGACACCACAAAAGCAGGGAAAGGTGAGATGCGTCAGAATAGATTTTTGAATAATATTTTATATGGAAAGAAGTGAGTTGAAGAGTAATGATGAAGACTTTTAATACCCGGCAACAGGCCATATTCGTATTCTCGGTATTGGAGTGGAACTAGCTTGCAACTGAGGCTAATACGGGGAGTATTTTAAAATGCAAATTAAATTAACATCTTTAAAGGGTATTCTTCCCCGTGAGCCTCCATTGCAAGCTAAGTAGAGTCCAATACCGAGAATACAAATATGGCCTACTTTGAGAGAGATTGAAAAAGTGGCTGTAACTGAAAAGGTTTGCCTGTTATAAGAGTTGATGAACTTAATTACGCTGTACAAACTCAAGCTATTTTAAATTCATAAGATTAACAATAGCGTTTTTACGTCATGTAGGAGTACCCAAGTGTGTTATCAAAGGCCCCAGGAGGAAGGAAGTTCCGGTTGAGGTTCTAGACAATGGTGATGGTACCTTCGACTGTGTCTTCGTCCCCGAAGATGAAGGACGTCACGATGTCGATGTTCTTTTTGGCGGCGAACCTGTACCCGGAAGTCCCTTCAAAGTGAAGGCTAAAAAACCTGTTGAAGTCGACAAGATCAAATGCCAGCCTAAGGCTGATAAGGAGCCAATAGTGGACGAGGAACTTGTCTACGCCGTCGATACACGACCCACCGAGTCGGCCCCTGGTGAAGGCCTCCTAAATGGCTCTCTCTTGACGCCCTCTGGTGAAAAGGAGCCTGTTAAAGTCAAGGACAACAACGACGGTACCTATGACGTTTGTTGTGTACCCAAGGAGCCTGGACCCCATGAACTCGCCGTGGATTATGACGGTGTACCGCTGGTTGGTAGTCCGTTCAAGTTTGACGCCGTAGAGGGAGGAGCAGATAAAGTGAAGGCGTACGGAAAAGGTAAATGTCTCTCCCCTTCCCGGCTCTATTTTCTTTATTCCCACCCTTTCCACGGTTAATTTAACTTGTCTCAAGTCGATGGACATAAAGTGAAAGCAAACGTCTGTAAATTTGCTTACTTTGCAGGGTTAGAGCGTGGATTGGCTGGAGAGCCTTGCGAATTCACCATCGTTACAAAAGACGCTGGACCAGGCGGCCTCGCTTTGGCTGTTCACGGACCAAGCAAAGCGGAGATCACGTGCACCGATAATGGAGATGGCACGTGCACAGTGCAGTACGTTCCCGACGAACCTGGTAAGCCTGTGGTTCAGTTTACTTTTTTCATAAGCAGTATTAGGTTCTGGTATCGCGCACCGAGTTCGATTCTGTAAGGGGAAAATAAATTGGAATTTAAATGCGGTGATTTTGGAGTAAGGAAATCTAGAAAGTCTGGAGAAAAATATTTACGGAAAGAAGAGAATGCGAAGAAAAGTCATAAAGAGTTGGACACCATGGCCGACGTTAGAATGTTACGCCATGGTTATTTTGAGAGTATTAAAACAAATGACCGGTTCATGTTCTGAAAGACTGTGATGAAGTAACTTATTTCTAACCAGTTCGCTTGAAAGTTTTTTTTCTTTTTTCTCATATCTCACTCATCTTGCTTTTTTCGTTTTAGGTGATTACGACATCAGCTGTAAGTTCGCAGATAAAGACATCCCAGGGAGTCCTTTCACAGCTCACATCTACTCTAACTATGATGACCTGGATGCCGCCGCTCCTCGTCCAACAGTTGGCAAACCATGTGACGTAGAACTGAAAATCCCCGAATCATTCCGACCAGAGGACATCGCGAAGGGCGTGGTCACTGCTGAACTTGAGAGGCCAAACGGACGCAAGGAACCATTGGAACCTCTCCGCGTGAACGACGATGGCACTCTAGCGGTTACGTTCATCCCGTACGAACCCGGCGAGCACTTGATCCACGTGTACAAACGCGGACGCGAAGTTCAGAACAGTCCATTCTCGGTTATGGTACATGCGCAACGTGTTGGCGACGTATACCCCGTCGGACACACTTGTGATCTCGATTTTAAAGTTCCCGAAGACATCGAAGATCTTGTGGCGACACTGAAGCGCCCCAGTGGTAAGGTAGAAGAGTCGTTAAAGCTACAACCCGGTCCACAGCCAGGGACAATCAGCGTGTCATTTGTACCTAGAGAGGCCGGAGAGCACTTCCTGTCCATCAAAAGAAAGAAGGACAAGAGCCCTATCGCTGGCAGTCCGTTCTCTATCCTGGTGGAGTCGGAGGAACCTGTAGAGGGCGTAGGATGCCCCGTAGACTATTGCTTCAGCTTGGATGATGTGAATCTTCCCGAGGATATCGAAAAGAACAGAATAAAGGCTACAATAAAGAGGCCATCGAGCGATATAGAAGAACCAATTGACGTGAAGCTGAACTCAGACAACACTCTTAGCTGCTCGTTTGTTCCGCGTGAAACTGGCCTTCATTACATCAACATTAGAAAGTACGGCCGACATGTGGAAGGTAGTCCATTTGTTATCAAGGTGACTGCACCAGAAGGGGTTTCAAGCGTTGGTAAGCCGTACGGAAAAGGTTTAGAGAGTCCTGATATCAACTTACCGGAAGACTACCCAAGGCTAACTGCTGCTCTTAAAAGACCGTCCAGTCCTAGAGAGGAGGAGCTGAAACTTGTCCTGAATGGAGATAACACCTTGGGCGTGGCATTCACCCCACGCGAAGAGGGCGAGCATTTGATTCATCTCAGAAAAGACAAAAAAGATGTACAGAATAGTCCTTACAGCGTGATGGTTGGAGCGAAGGAAGAGAAGGTGGAAGAAGTACATCCTATGGGACGAACGTGCGATGTGAACCTGGATATTCAAGGTGTCAAGCTGCCTGAAGACCTTGACAAAGATCTGCTTAGAGGATTCCTCAAACGGCCAAATAGCACCAAAGAGGAACCTCTTAAACTTGAAATCACCAGTGACAATTCTCTGGGCGTGTCATTCGTGCCCCAGGAACCTGGTGAACACCAGATAAGCGTCAGGAAGAAGACTCCGGACAGAAAATGGAAAGATGTGCCAGGAAGTCCCTTCTCCATCATGGTGGAAGCGGCCGAAGCTGTTAACGCTGTTGGTACACCATGTGATTGTCTCCTAGATATGCCTAGTGTGCGCATCCCTGAGGATCTAAAGAAACTCACTGCGACTCTCAAGAGACCATCGAGCCGCCACGAGGAAGATCTGAAGTTGAGAGTAACATCAGATAACAAACCTTTCGCTTCCTTCGTTCCACGCGAGCCTGGCCCGCATTTGATCAGTATCAAGAAATACGGTTCACACGTGAAGAACAGCCCATTCACTGTCATGGTGGTCGCCCCCGAGGCTGGAAACGCCATTGGTCGGCCGTGCGGTGTTGGACTCGAGATCCCAGGACTAAAACTCCCGGATGATTACAACAACGGTCTTTTGAGTGCTAGTCTAAAGAGGCCTTCTGGGAAACCTGAGGAACCTCTCCCTCTTGCTCTCAACTCAGATAACACATTGAGCGTCTCGTTTACACCACAGGAGACTGGAGAGCACTTCGTCACGGTCAAGAAGTCTGGTAACCACGTGAATGGCAGCCCATTCTCAGTGATGGTCAGTGGTCCAGGCCCAGCTGATCCGAGCAAAGTGGTCTGCACGGGTCCAGGTAAGAACCGTTGTTTTTTATTTAAGTTAATAATGTAAACTGAAATAATTTATTACAAGTACGTGGCGTTTATACAGAGAGACCAATAATTTCAAACTTGTACTTTTTCGTTTAGGTCTACATGACGGTGTGGCCGGTAAGCCCAGCTCTTTCACCATTAACACCCGAGATGCTGGCTACGGAGGACTGGGTCTTTCAATTGAGGGACCCTCCAAGGCGGAGATAAACTGTGTTGACAACGAGGATGGCACGTGTACAGTGGATTATCTTCCTGTTGAACCCGGCAAGTACACGATCAATGTGAAGTTTGCTGACGAGGATGTACCCGGAAGTCCATTCACATCAAACGTCCGACCATCGGGAGATGAAATTCAACCAGTCGAAGAGAACTTGGTAAGATTGATTGAGATAAAAACGATGAATCGGAAGCTTAGACTGATAACGTGACAATGATGCGACTTAAGAGGCTAATAAATTGTCAAAAACATGAACACATTCTGTTGGGCTTCGATGACTGCGACGCCAAACTGTGTTCCAATTATTGAGATTTATTTCAATAAAATAAAGTTAGTGAGAGTTTCAAGTGTTAATACCAAGTGAACTGCACCTGCTAATGATGTAAAGAAAGTGAATGTTCTGTACTGAACGATCTAGGAAAAGTCATGTATGAGAACCAAAGTTTGGACAACATTTGCGCGAAAAAATTTGCCGTAGAGATGCGTTGCTGTTGGAATCTTGAAATTTTTCCTTTTTAATTTTTAGTTCCTTTCCAACAACAAAACGTATTTTTTGTTTGCAAAGGGTGGGCGCGCGCAACTAGCATAACTGACTTTTTCAATACTCCATCTGTTGGTCGGATAAAAGCGGTGTTTTTATTGGTCAAGAGCACGTAAATGATACCCAGGCCGCGTCTCTACGTCATTAAAAACAATAGACGCTGCAGGTCCTGTCAGTCAACAAGTGAAAATGCAGGTCCTTAAGCGATAATGTTGCCTAATGTTACCGTTGTTTAAGATGTGTCGAGTAAAAACTCCCCATGTGTATTTCTAATTCAAAGTCTTTCAACCTAGTTCTCAATATTTCAATAACCAGTCTAAAAGGTTTAAAACTCCCTTCCCTGACAACAATATGTTTCTTGGAAATTTTACGAATTGACTGTTTTCTTCCTCTGTGTTTTGCAGGTGAGTTCGTCTGCACCAGATCAGTTCTCTGAGCCTCCACATCGAGTGTCTGAAGTTTTTGAGGATCTTGTGACGTTCGGTTCCACTCCCGCTCAGCCTCATGACTTCGTGTTTGATCTCAAAGGCTACAAGATGGACGATCTTGAAACCATGGTGATAAGCCCTGACGGAACGGAACTCGAGTCCGAGATTATCGAAACGACACCGAAGACGTACACCATCCGCTTTGTGCCGAAAGAGAGCGGCGAACACACTATCTATGTTAGATTCAAGAGCGGAAGAAAGAAGGACATCCCTGGAAGTCCATTCAAGGTCTTTGTCGAGGCACCAGTGTGGGGTGGGGCTGCAAAATGCGTGGCTGCAGGTCCTGGGCTTGAAAGAGGTGTGGTGAACCATCCGGGAGATTTCACTGTGTGGACACGTGATGCCGGTCCAGGAGGCCTTGCGATTGCAGTCGAAGGTCCTGCCAAGTCAGAGATCAAATGCACCGACAACGGAGACGGGTCTTGCAACATTTCCTACCTACCCACCACGCCCGGGGAATACACGTGTCATATTCGGTTTGCGGATGAAGACATTCCCGGAAGTCCTTACAAGGTCCAAGTATCGCCGGAAGTGGAGGACCGCTTTAGGGATCTCAACGTCACCGACCTCGCCGAGAGCGGATTAAAGGTCAACCAGCCCGCTTCATTCTCCGTGCAAACAAATGCAGCTGTAGGAGATGTGACTGCTTCTGTCGTGGCGCCTTCAGGGGACGAAAAAGAAGCTCAAGTGTCCAAACTCGGCGGTGGGAACTTCGCCATTCGCTTCACCCCTAGGGAATATGGGGACCACCTCGTCAATGTCCGTTTTGATGGCTCTCATATCCCCGGTAGCCCGTTCAAGATCAGGGTAGGCGGGGCAGAAGGTCATCCAGAGAAAGTCAAGGCTTATGGTGAGGGATTGAGCAAAGGAAGGGTCGGCGAATCAGCAGAGTTTACTGTCAACGCTCTGGAAGCCGGCTCAGGTGCGCTTGCTCTCTCCGTAGACGGTCCCGCTAAGGTGAAGATGAATTGCAGTGAAAATCCCGACGGTACCTATCAAGTCACGTACAACCCGGTCGTAGCAGGCGAGTACACGATAAGAATAAAATTCGCTGGTCAAGACATCCCCGGGAGCCCGTATAACGTAACGATTTACCCGTCCGATGGTAAATACGCCAGCACGGGCGACGCGTCCAAGTGCACCTCGCGAGGAACTGGTCTTCATAGCGCTGTCCTCGGGCAGCCAAACTCCTTCACTGTCAACGCTAGCAATGCTGGTCGTGGTTCCCTGATGGTGGGTGTTGAAGGCCCTGCGATACCAGCTAAAGAAATCAACGTCAAGCACACGGGCAGCAACGTGTATGCTGTGAATTACGCCCTAGAGGAGCCTGGTACCTATGTCCTTAAAGTTCTGTGGGCAGATAAGCACATCCCTGGAAGCCCTTTTCACGTGACAGTTTAAACACGCGAGAACACGCGCGTGCGCGAAACGAGAACTCTAGTCTTGTAATTAAGGACTTAAAAAAATTGAAGGAGAAATTATTTTCATTACAACTGTAAGGTTGCACCTGAATGTTTTAAGTCGCATTTTGCAATACTAATGCTAGTTTTCTATTTTATTACAATTAAAATTTTGTTAAAAAAGCCCTCGTTTGTATCACTGACTGTAGAAACTTTAGGATCTATTGTAGCTAGTGAAGCATTTTTCGGCGATACAAGTTGTAGCTATGTTGTAATTTCTAAATCGATCATCGTATTATGATAAACACGGTAACACGTAGAAGAAAAAGAGCACTGTAAACTCAAATGTTTTGTTTGTTAGTTTTTCTAGCGAGATCTGTGTGATAATTTTAGGGATATTTTCTAATAACTGACAAATAAATTGGTTAAAGAAATTTTGTATTTTTATTGGTTACCTCTTAAAAGGCATTTCAGTGGTGCACTTTTCCCCGGGGGACTCCCATCAGTAAAGGTCGGAATAGGCCGTATTCGTATTCTCGGTATTGGACTGGAACTAGCTTGCAATGGAGGCTCATGCGGGGAATATCATTAAAAAGAGGTGAATGCTATTTGTATTTGAAAACACTCCCCGCATTAATTAGCCTCAGTTGCAAGCTAGTTCCAGTCCATTACCGGGAATACGAAGATGGCCTAATGCTCGTCGGAAATTTGAATTATACCCATAACAGAGACCAACCTGGGCGTGGTTCGAGCTTTATTTCACCCCTAGGAGAGACGAAGAGCAAGCTCGACCTTTTCAGATGGAAGTCCCTTCCCCACGGGGCATTTATAGTCTTTATTCGTATTTTGAATTTAAATGTACTGTGATCCTTGTGTTCACACTTAAATTTGGTAAGTCACATTTCCACAGAGCAACAGCGTTATGTTTTTTTTGTCTTTTTCTTGGAGAATTTTAAGATCTGAATACCTGGAAAACTGTAAACATTTATAACACAACACTGAAACAAAAACTTGCTAAAAAGATGAAATTGATTTGAAATTGTCTTCCTTAAAAACAAGTTCCCCTCTAGTCAAATCCCTGAACACTCTTGTCCGCGCGCTTTATGTAGGGGTGTTACCAAGGCGCTTCGTAGACCACGCGCGTTCGCAAAAAAAATACGACATACAGTAGTTATGAAAAGGTATTGGTGGGGTGCGAAAAACGTTTCTTTTGCTGCTTTTGTCGGTATTAGTGAACGGCAAATTTGTGAGTTTTCGATGGGGACCAAGAAAAACGTTCGTCGTAACGGAAGATGACTAGTTTCTTGTTTGTTCTAAACTGTCCTCTTATATCCCTTTGTTTTGGATTTATCACGTGACTGTTTAGACCACTCGCATGTTATTCAGGAAGCCGCAATGATTGGAATTAGCGTCCGCGCTCCCCGATTAGTGCCGTTTTTTTCAGTAAGCGTCCCTCAACTAAAAGGCGTCTCCTTCCAATAACCTTACTTAACTGAGATAAAATAAAAACAAGTTTTTGCTGTGTAGCACTTTGAATAGAATAGCATTCGTTTAAAATAACAAAAAGTGGTTATATGTGGTATTTTTAGATACCTTTCTGTAAAAACAGACGTCCACGTTTGTTTAACGCTTCATTTACGACTGATGAAGAGGGTTTTCCCGAAACGTCTCCGAGATAAAATAGACCGACTGGACGAATGAACGTAATATGAGCAATATGACTTTCAGAGTCCCCTGATAAGCGGCCCTCTCATAACCCTCGCCGCGAAACAGGAGCCCATGACGGGATGGGCTGAGATGGGCTCCTGTTCCGCGGGACTCTTCTGCAACCTAACGGTACTGCGGAAGTACCGGTCCAGCGGTTGCTCCTATGAGAGTGAAAAGAGCAGTCATTTGACCATTCATTAGTCGCCCGATGTTTACTTGTTACTGCAGCAGACGTGTTCAAAACACGTTCATATCGAGAGGACTGCGGAGGTTTGAACCTTCACTAGCACAATGATTGCCTCGTCCTCCGACGAAGAGGATGGTGAAGATATCATCGATGGAGACGAGCACACACAGGAGCTTCTTAGCATTTATCAGCGAGGGGAGCAATTATCAGCAAACTCCACAGCTCCCACTTCTTCACCAAGTGTCAGTCCGTCATTGCATACTCCGAGCCCGACCCCTTCCGTTCTGTCAGAAGCCACAGTGTTAGAACAGCAAGAAGATGACGAAAGAAGAGAGAGGCTACAGTTGTATATTTTCGTTCTGAGGTGCATTGCATATCCATTTAATGCTCGACAACCAACGGACATGGCTCGAAGGCACGCGAGAGTGAGCAAGCAAGATCTGGTAAAAATTAAGCAGAGATTCGAGGATTTCCTCAAAGGTGACACCAAAATTGCTTCCGACGAGGCGTTCTACAACGCAGTCCGGGCCTATTTTGATATATTCATTTGCAGTGAAAGAGTACAAAAGATGGTCATTAGTGGAGGTTGTTCGTCCAATGATTTTCGTGAGGTTTTCAAGGCAATGATCGAGAAGCGCGTTCGAAGTCTGCCTGAAATCGACGGGATCAGTAAGGAAACAGTGTTGAGTTCGTGGATGGCGAAAAATGATGCTATTTTTCGTGGAGAGGACGATCCGAAAAAGGGTCCCAGAATTGCAGCATCTGCTGCTTCGGAACTGATTTTATCGAAAGAGCAGCTCTATGAAATGTTCCAGACCATCTTAGGAGTGAAAAAATACGAACACCAAATATTGTTCAATGCTTGTCAGGTATGACATCGATATTGTGCTCTAATTAAATGTTGTACTGTGTTCTCAAGGGTTTTTGATGTGGGTTTTTAACCGTGTTGAAGATTTCGTGTGATTTCGTTTCATTACTAAGAAACAAGAAGATCACGCACGCTTTTTAATATAAATCAAAATTAAGCTTTTTGAAATGATTATATCTTATTGCTTATTAACTGCTAAATTACTGTGTTTACACAACTGCAGGCTAGGATTTTAATTTATCGATTTATATTTTTAAATATGTATAAAATATTTTGATTCTTCATTTTGGATTTTATGTGTTTACTTGTGGTTTCCAGTAGACAAATATATGCAAAATAAGGCAATTGATCCCAGGAAGTGTTTGAGAACAAGGCAAAGACGTTAATATTAAGTTAATTGCAATTGTCAAAAGCTGCTTTGAAGAAAAAATCTCATTACAGACATTTTTGACTGAACTTACATGCAAATGTGGTTACGGTTGTTTAGCCCCTAAGTCGATTATCCCCTGGCTCGTTAGCCCCCAACCAAAAGTCGATTAGCCCCTCATTCACGCTTAAAGAACAGAAATAGACAGTTTTTACGACTTCTGGTTAGGGATGAAATGGTTAGGGGCTTAACGACTAGATACCTAAGTGTTTTCCACACTTGACTAATTAAATATCAAAGACACTAGCCATAGAAAAACCATTTAAAAACATGTATACCTATCAGAACTCAACCCTTGAGTTGACCACTTCATTAATTGAAAGTCTGTTAATGAGTTTTGGGAAAAATTGAAAATTGGAGCACTTGTAGTACAAATTGGCAAATCTTAGGTGGTTTTATAATTTTTACTTTTAAATTTACTGTTAAGTTGCAAAATCAGGCACGGCTAATCTTTGTGTTCTTGCTTTGATCAGTAAGTAGGTTGTCATACTTTGAATCTTATTTTTTTTGTCTTTAAAGCTTGACAGTGCTGATGAACAAGCAGCATGTATTCGTCGAGAACTGCATGGAAAATATAAAGCAATTGTGGACCAGAGAAAGGTATTTGATACTTAGTTAAATGATAAGGTTGCTATTTTTAGCAGCATTATTGATTGCATGGAAAATCATTAGTTTTAGTTTGTCATAAGGCCTGGTTCAGACTAGTTACATTATGACACAAACAATATAATGACATATCGACATAACAACATAATTGCTTTATGCCAATAATGTGAACATTCAACAACAAAGACCTAAGCAAAAGATTGTTGTTTTTTTTTCGTTATGTTGCTATATTGCTATAATCTAAGTCATTATTACTGTCATGATGTTCACACTGTAAACACGACAATGTAAGGTTCTTCTTTTGTTATGTTTTGTCATTATGTCCCTTGTGTGAATTAGGCTTAACTTTAACCAAAGACGTTAAAATGATCTTTTGTTTCTGATGTGACTAAAAGTGTTCTCTTTTTTTAATTTGGTTTTCTACAGCGTCTGCCTGGCTTTATACACAAAAATATGGAAGCACTGTTTGTTGAAGAACAGCAATCTGCTATCAGTCAACTAATGACTAATTTGGAAAGTCAGCCGGTTACTAAAGGATCCTCTGACTCAAAGTATTCAATACCATTTAATAGGATCAAAGGGTATGTAGTACCATTCTTGTATTATCCTGACATTCTTCAACTCTTACACATAGAAGTTAACTTAAGGTGGCTCAAAACGGTGTCCAGCACTTTCCAAGTCATAGATTTTCATGGGTCGTTATTACCACTCTTTATCAGTTGATGCCAAAATCATGGTATCACAAAACTGCCCAATTATTGGTGAAGAGGCTGGTGTTATTTTCATGACACAATAGGTTACCATAGTAACCCTCTGGCCTGCTAAAAACATCCTTAATTTTAACTTTAAGTGCATGTACTTACAATTCAAGAATGTCATGGTGACCTATAGCCCCAATAAGGGAGTACCCACCCTCCAACCCTGGGAGTGAGTGTCTGCATAAGGGAGTTGTCCAGGATCAACTTTTCCAGCTGGAACCCTATTGGTCTTATTGCATGCAATTAATCCCTAGACCCCAGAACACAATTTCCATGGTTGAGGCGCAAGATGATGTGGATTCAATACTGTCCAAGTCTGATGTCATGCTGAATTTCACCATTGAGGTAATAATTTGACTTATTTATTGACTGAGTCAGAGGGCTGGACTGAGGCCAACGAGGTCTGTGCTTGTGATTAAGGACCATGTACATGTATTCCCAACCCTCCACCTCTTTTAGCTTGATTGACATAAATTTGCAAAAATAGTGACAGCTATTGTCTGAGTACCTTTTCTAGTTCAGCTGGGTTATATACATGTATGTATAAAGTTAGCCTTGCATACATTCAACTTGTGGCACTGCCATTTTTAATATGTTTTATAACATTGCATCAGTAGTACCCCACCATTGGTATTCATGTCCAATACACCCAACTACCCACTTGACGATTCGACTCGATTTTCACGGAGTCGATCCGCATCACCGGAAGTCAAGACCCGTGAAATAATGATACATAAACGTTTCTCGTTCTTAAAACGTGACTACAAACTTGAGTCGATTCATGTGAGGTACTTAACGATTTGAATCGATGCGCACGGAGTCAATCCGCACCACCGCAAGTCAAGACCCGTGAAATAATGATACATGAACGTTCCTCGTTCTTGAAATGTGACGACAAACTTGAGTTGATTCGTGTGAGGTACTTAACAATTCAAATCGATTCGCGCGGAGTCGATCCGCACCACTGCAAGTCAAGACCCGTGAAATAATGATACATGAACATTACTCGTTCTTGAAACGTGACGACAGACTTGAGTCGATTCGTGTGAGGTACTTAATGATTCGACTCGATTCGAACGGAGTCGATCAACCTCGTTCCCAGGGTCTCTCATCTTACCGCCCTCTTCGCTTGCTCCAGGGGGCGGTAAGATGAGAGACCCTGGGAACGAGGTTGGGAGTCNAATCAACTCTAGTTGGGTGTATTGGACAACCCTCACCATTGGTGGGGCATCATCGAGGTCTCATTTTTACAAGTAGTATAATTTGTAACTATGTGGTGACCTTGCTTTTTATTTTAGGTCATTGTTGTAGAAGCAAGGGGACTGAAGTCTCTTCCACCAAGAATGAAAATTGTTTACTGCACCATGGAGGTAACAAATAATCTATTATTTAATTTCTAATTAATTTTTAAAAAGGAAACAACATTTTTCATTTTACAAAACATGTTTTGACATCCCTATGTCATCTTCAGTTGTAAATATTTGACAGTTGTACATTTGAATTTTCACTCTATACATGATTACGTTATAGAATTACGCCATAAAATTACGTTAACGGTATTGGAATATACTAGGAACAAAGGACTAAAAAAAGAAAGAAAATAAATAAAATAAAATACATGTCAACAAAGAAGAATTAAACGGAAAGAGACAAATCTAAGTGCGTCAGCTGTTGGTTTAGAGTTAGAATTTCCCACTTGATATACAGTGCCTCTTTTATCTTAACTTGAAAACTCGAGGGGGCAGAATCTAGAATTGTGAAAGATTCTGCAGAGCATGAGTCAAGACAAGTACCTGATGACTGCAAGTGCCTGTAAACATGTGAAGCCTTGTCCGACACAAATGTGGTGAGTGGTCTCACCAATGTAGCAGGCATTACAGCCAGCACATGTGAATTTGTAAACGATGTTTATGTGAACGGAAACTCTGTGGCATGGAATCTTTCAGGTTAAACATGCTTCTAACCTTCAATGTAGAAAAAACTAACTTAATATCTAGATCAAATTTGCAGTAACGTTTAAGCAGCTGTCTTTATTTAATCTGGGCAACTTTAGAAAAACTGCTAACATAAGGGGGTTTGTAGAAATGTGTAGAAGTTGGGCAGCCCAGTCCGCTCATTTGCAGGATTGACATTCATTTTGACACATTGGTGAGACCACTCACTACATTTGTACACGTGTCCATGAGCACCTTGTGTCAGACCAGGCTTCGCATATTTTTAGCTTTGAATACTGCTTTGAAATTAATTGGAATGGATAAATTTACATATGAGTGCAGTCTTAAGACCTACAGACATGCCAGACTCATCTTAGGCCTAATATGCTTGTCTATGAGCAGATTACTAATTCATTATATTAGAAGTTACTTTGTGACAGAACCAGGCTTGAGTCATATATAATGCCATTATTTCTGCCCTGTAAAGACTTACTGAAATGTGTGTGTATGTTCTTTTCATTGCTTTGTTAGGTGGAAGGTGGAGATAAATTTCAAACTGATCAAGCTGAGGCTAGCAAGCCTGTGTAAGTATTAAAATGGCTGGAAAAGACAATTTTGGCCTGCTTGGCAAACACACCTGCGCCTTGATCAAATGGATAACAAACACACCATAAATGATATCATCTGTTAAAACTTTAGCATACATTTTCCCATGTAAGGCCACAGATTAATTTTTTACAATGATTTGGTATCCCATGGACTGTTTGATTGGTCTCTTTTTTTTCTCCAAAGATTATATACTAGGCAAGCCTGAATGCTGAAAAGGTTCCAGCTGACTCATTTGTTGTCTGTCAATAGATAGCTCATCTGTTTTCAATTGGCACTCTACATATACATAGGTTTTGGAGAAAACTATATACACATGTAATTAGACTACTTGCAGGAATTGTAATCTGTGACAGATGATCTCTGACTGATCCTTTAATCAATTTGAATTAAGTGGTGTTCCTCAAGTGATCTGTCAACTGATCTGAATTATGCAATCCTCTTTAAATGATTTGTTAATTGAAAAGTTGACAAACTCAGAGTTTTGATTTGACTTAGCTGGGAATCTCAAGGTGATTTTACAACTTGCCACCCACGTCCGGTTGTTAAAGTCAAACTTTACGCAGAGAATTCAGGACTCTTGGCACTTGACGATAAAGAGCTGGGAAAGGTAATGTCAATAAACTACACCCCTCAAAGATGTATTATCTGGAGGCAACATGGCAGAGTGCTTAGGGTGCCGGACTTGAAATCCGGAGGTTGTGAAATCAAGTCCCGCCCTGACCACCAGCTGGTGTTGTTCTCGGCAGTCCTGAGTTCAACTCCTCAGTCACACTTGTAAATAGCCACCTGGTCTGTCTCTTGCCAGTTGGGATTTTTAACCATGTTATGTTCATTTACATTGTATTTGTTTCATCCTTTGCCTCCATTGGTCCTGAAAATGGGGGAGTGGTCAATTAAGATAATTATATAATTATAATTTTTTTTATTATGTTGTTGATATCAGATAATCTTATTTTGTGGTTTCATCAGAGATAAGTTGACAACAGATAGCCAGTGTGTGCTGTAGTGTATTCTGAAGATTTTCTTTCTCTGAAACATGGCTCTGAGTTTGTAAAAGTCGTCTAAAATTTTGTGGAGCTAAAAGCACATGTCTGAAGAAAAATAGCTGTAAAAACAGTAGAAGTCACATTTCTATGCAAGTTTATCTCATTATGCGGCAGCTCTTTACTCCACCCATTCAAACTTTTGATCTTGTTGTAAATGGGTAATGACAGCAGTTGGTGGAATCTGATAGAACACTAGCCAAGGGCTATTTTGCATCCCATCCAGGGGAAGTAACAATACTACTATTTGTTTCATGCCATGGAAGTCAGGATGAGCTCTTTCTAACAATGTCAAGGGTCACTTAAGCATTCTCAGGTTATTAGAATATGCAGTAAAAGGATGGTGCATGTTTGTTTTGTTTGTCCAATTATCCTTCGTCCATAGGTGATAATAAAACCGATACCCGGAGGATCAGAGCTGCCTGAGCTGTATGATGTTGTGACACCCAAAGGCTGGACTGGTGATAAAGTTAAATTAAAAATTGCCGTCAAGATGGATAAACCTGTGAACCTAAAGAAATGTGGGTTAGTGGGTTGACATTAGACCTTTCCTTATTGAATTGTCTCTACATCTTTATGATATGTCTCTTCATTTCCTCTTTTTTTTCAGGATACTTGTTACCCTTTCAGTTCTGAGCTGTGTGGGTCTGCAGACTATTTGATAATGTTATGACAAAATTCATTGTCAATAACAGGACAGACACATGAGACACTGATTTCATTTTGTTAAACATGTAATTTGGAATGACAATTAGCATGATTACATGTAGCAACCCTCCACCTCTTTTTGAGCCAGTTTTTTAATTTCATTCTTAGATTGATTTATGTTCAAGGGAAGAGTGTGTGGAAAAAGTGGAAAACACGCTTCTTTGCACTTGTGCAGGTGTGTAATGCCATGGCTTCATGAGAACATAAATTCCCATATTTCCACCTCTGGCAGTTCAGTTAATGAGACAAGTGTTTTTACATAATAAGCAATATGACACTGGTCTCCCTAAGTACAGCAGCCTATTGCTTGGTGCATTTGACCATGGAAACTGGGTGATTCTCTTTGTGTTATGTTCTTAGGCAGGACCTGCAATTCACTCTTGAATGTATTTTCTGATTCTCCACCCAAAAGTTACAACTCTGCATTGTACATGTAGTGTTTCATTCACATCCTGAAATCCGTTATTAACTAAAGCAATAGCCTGACAACCAGTCAGTGTGCTTGGATACAGGATTTTGTTATAACAAATTGTACTTTACTCACTTGCTGTAGGTGAGTAATTATACGTTTGCCATGTGCAGTTACCGTGAGAAGCAGGCCGAGCCCACAGAAATGATGCAGCTGGATGGTTATACTGTGGATTACTGTGAGGCTGTCAGTGGTAGGTCACTAACATAACAAATCAGTAATTAAGGATGTTAATGCTTAGTGGTCACTGCATGATTTCTAATATGGAACAAAGAGGATAAAGTAAGCCTGTGATGAGGTCAGGTGTCAAGGACCATTTCTATGGACAACCTCCACTAGGCATGGTTAGTTAAAGACACTTTTTCTTCAGCTAGGAGCCACCTTTGAAACCCAACAGGCAGCTGTCTGAGTGAAACAATGGTGAAAAGGAGGAAAGGGGAATAAAGAAAATGAAGAAATTCTGGCAAAATAGATCAGCATTGCCTATGAACTGCAGCCTCTTTCCTCTCTGTTAAAGACACTATTCAAATTCAGCCATGCCTATGTTTTAGCATGCTCGAAACTGCTGTCGTCAGTAACTGGTAGCACTTATCAAACCTGCCCATAGTTGTTGATCTTTAGGCTTGAATGAATTGCACAAAACAGTTTGTTAGTAATTTAAGTGATGCTTCACCAAACTGCATTCTTTGATATCAATTTGAGCCAATATGTGATTTATTTTAATCTGTAGATGAAGAACACAAAGGTGGAAGGTTTTTCTTCAAAGCTGTGAAGGAAGGTGATCAAGTGTTGTTTGCAACAGAAGAGGAACTCGAGAGACAGATCTGGGTCAACAAACTGTACACTGCTACTGGCCAGTCACACAAGCCTGTTGCACCAAACCTGTCAGCCGTCAGTGTCCAGCCACATGTTAATAACACACTGTCAAGACTCCAAGGAGGTCAGTTGTTTGCCGGTCTTTTGCGCTAAGACTGGAATTGAAGATTTAAATTTGTAATGAAAACTGTATTGAGACCCAATTCCCTCCTTGTCCTTGTAAATGGCCCTGTTCCACAGACATTCTTTGAAAGATCAAGGTTTGAGTTCCCCAGACTACTCCTACTCCTNAAGAGGATAAAGTAAGCCTGTGATGAGGTCAGGTGTCAAGGACCATTTCTATGGACAACTTCCACTAGGCTTGGTTAGTTAAAGACAGTTTTTCTTCAGCTATGAGCCACCTTTGAAACCCAACAGGCAGCTGTCTGAGTGAAACAATGGTGAAAAGGAGGAAAGGGGAATAAAGAAAATGAAGAATTTCTGGCAAAATAGATCAGCATCGTCCATGAACTGCAGCCTCTTTCCCCTCTGTTAAAGACACTACAGGGGAACCCTGTTAATACGACCACCTTCGGGCCGAGGAAAATTGGTCATATTAACGGGGTGGTCATATTAAAGGGGTTCTTTAAATAGGAAAATGACTGACTGAGCTTTTTTTTGGATCAGAACAAAGTGGCCGTAATAACGAGGTGGTCGTATTAATGGGGTGGTCATAAGGTGTGGTTCCACTGTTTTCAAATTCAGCCATGTCTATGTTTTAGCATGCTCGAAAATGCTGTCGTCAATAACTGGTAGCACTTATAAAACCTGCCCATTGTTGTTGATCTTCAGGATTGAATGAATTGCACAAAACTGTTTGTTAGTAATTTAAGTGATGCTTTACCAACTGCATTCCTTGATATCAATTTGAGCCAATATGTGATTTATTTTAATCTGTAGATGAAGAACACAAAGGTGGAAGGTTTTTCTTCAAAGCTGTGAAGGAGGGTGATCAAGTCTTGTTTGCAACAGAAGAGGAACTCGAGAGACAGATCTGGGTGAACAAACTGTACACTGCTACTGGCCAGTCACACAAGCCTGTTGCACCAAACCTGTCAGCCGTCAGTGTCCAGCCNTTGTTTGCAACAGAAGAGGAACTCGAGAGACAGATCTGGGTGAACAAACTGTACACTGCTACTGGCCAGTCACACAAGCCTGTTGCACCAAACCTGTCAGCCGTCAGTGTCCAGCCGCATGTTAATAACACACTGACAAGACTTCAAGGAGGTCAGTTGTTTGCCGGTCTTTAATTGAAGATTTAAAATTGTAATGAAAACTGTATTAAGACCCAGTACCCTCCTTGTCCTTGTAAATGGCCCTGTCCCACAGTCATTCTTTGAAAGATCAAGGTTTGAGTTCTCCAGACTACCCCTACTCCTACCAAGAATGTTACCTAATACATTTTAAAAGATGAAAGACCTACCATAAGGTAGGTAATTTGCCTACTTTATGTAAGATGAAATCTGGATCAGGCAATAAATGTCTTTTACTGCCTGAGCTTCAAATCATGGTTTTTGTAGCATGAAGTCATACTAGAAGTAATCCTACTCCCCACTCCTGGATGGAATGCTAGTCCATCACAGGGTTACCCTCAGTATAGTGGCTAACCATTAATAGGCAACTCTGTGTAAAATCCCCATTGGAAGACCCTGACAAGCCCAGAGGGGTGAGGCAGTTATTTTGTTAAGATTATGATTGCATTACCTTCTGTTTTAAATACTGCTCAG